GGGGTCAAACTGTCCCCAAACAAACAGCATAACTATACTGTATAACATTTCTTTCTCTGGGATTTGTTTTGGCAAACGAGAAGTACATATTTGTTCATGTATAGCCCATATAACATAAACCATGAAACATTTAATCATTTGGTATAATGTTTTAGGGTCACTGACAGATTTCGTCACCTTTCTGAAATGTGCACGCCTCCTTCGTGGCAAGAGGGAGGCCTGAGGCTTCAATCATTCTCGGTCTACCGGGTTTTAATGAGGTCAGAAGGGAAAAAAAAGATTTGAAGGGGAAAAAATAGGTTAATTTGGAAATTATTTTCTTACACATACAGCACTGGGGTCTCTGGGACCCCAAACAATAAGGAAGTCAAAGCAATCTCTACACGACACAAGGGAAACCCACGAAGAACGCTTGCGTGGGGGTCTGTCAGCTGTGTCCGAGATCGGAGGGCGGACATTTCAAAGCAGAGAAGAAAGCAGAGGTACAGTAACGGCAGAAAAGCGGACTTGAAATATTCAGACCCCGTCAGAGCGGAGGGGCGAGCCTGCCGTCTGCTCGGTGAGCTGGACAGCGGGCCCGGGGTCAGGCGGCCAGAGTCGCACACGGAGAGAGGCCGGGGTGCCCCCTCCAGGCGGCACAGGCAGGGCGCTGGAGCTGGAGCACCCCGGCACGGCTCGAAAGTTATTCTGAAGCGGTTTAAGACGCAGACACGGCGAGGAAGCGCAGCTCGCCGGGATCACGGTGGACCCGGGGGGACGCGACCGAACCGGATACCGCAGACTGGGGAGGACGAGTCGCAGGCCGGAGCCCCGGGACCCGCCGGCCGCTCAGGACACCCGCCCGCACAAACCCCGACACAGGACCGACTCACCTTCGTCAAAAAACCTTCCCCTTGACTCCGTACACTCTTGCCGGCCGGCTTCTCTGTCTCTGTCAGTCTCGATACACGACAAGCGCCCGTCTCTGTCTCCGTCTCTATCTCTGTCTCAGCACTCGGCTGAACTCCAGGCGCGCCGAGACCGTTGTGGAGTTTGAAAACTCGGAGGGCCAATCAGAGAGCGAGCAACGAGCGCGCGAGGCGGGCCCGCACGCAGTGCGCAGGCGCAGGGCCGCCTTAAAGGCAGGTGTCGGCTGTGTTTCTATTTTCAAATAGAGCTGAATACATATTGGCCGACAGATATGGTCTTAAAGATATTATAATGCATCAGTAAAGGCAGGTACAGTATTCCCATCAGCAGATGACGTGTTGAAAGGCAGGTTACCGGGATCCGAACAGACTAGAAAAGACTCTTCAAACGACCGCAATGTTGTCAGTGTCGTGGCTACGAGTTTACAGCTTGTTCCTACTAGCAGAGGTTTCTGTGACACACGGGCAGTCGAAGTGCGCTTTTACCGTGATGTGACTCTGTCGTGTTGTGTGCATTTTTGTCCTTGACCGTTTGAGAAGTTATCGAACCTGCGGTCAGGGGACACGTATTTTGCCTTCAAAACTCTTCTACTGTACAGATCTTGCTCATCTAATCTGGAATACCTGATTACAGCCGTTATAAAGACTCGGCCAGCTGTGCAGCGTCATCAGCAAATACGAAAACACGCATCCGACAGCTGTTTCTACCGCGGCGGGGGACTTTAACCGCTGCAACCTTAAAAACGTGCTACCAAAGCACTTTCAACACGACTCCGTCCCCTACAGAGGCAACAACACACTGGATCACGGTCACACCACGCCTCCGTGTTCTCTCTTCCTGTTTACCAGCAGAAGCTAAGAGCGCCCCCTGCAGGAGAGACCTGGCAGCGCGGAGCAAGGACTCGCAGATTTTTTTGAAGTAGTTCCAGTAACGAGCTGCGTCAGCAGGCGTAGGCTGCAAAGGAACAAGGAAGGTTTATTCTGCTGAAAAGAGAAGAAAATAAACATAACTTTTCGGCTGTGGAGCCTTCTGCCGGTGTCACATCCGAAGAAGACTGTTTTGAAATGACTGATGGGTGTGCATTCTTCCAGTGATCCAGATGCGTATACAGAGGTGGTCACATCCTTCACTAGTTACTGTATGGACAGAGCTGTTCCTACCAGGAGGATCTGGATAATATCCCAATCAGAGGCCCCGGATGAACAAACACATTCACTACAAACTTCGGGCACAGTCTTCTGCCTTCCAAGCAGGAGACGGAGAACTGTATAACACATCAAGGTACGACCTGGAGAAGCAGGAATACAAGGACACACTGGAACCAGCCTGGGGGCGGCTCAAGGCCTG